TATTTCTATATATTCCGTAACATTATAAAAAGCCATAAGTCTGCAAGTATCAGAGAATTATTAGATCCATGTCATTGGGAGCAGTATCATCGGCTATAACTATGGGAACAAAATATTCAATAATTTCCACGGACCCTTGTTGCCGTTAAGCACTCAATCAAGCCCAACAGGCTTCGAGCGAAACAATACGAGTATCCATGTATATGTACGGACGTATGTACGTGTATTCGCGAATGATACCTACCCCGTTCACGTGTGGGCGCCTCGCTTGATAATATGCATTCGCGGCGATGACCCTGATCCACAACGACAGACTCAAACGAGACATCAACGCTCACGAGAAGTCTCCTTCTGCACGGTCCCTGTAATCACGGACTCATTAGTCGTCTGCTGCGCTGGCGGGTAAATTGTTGAAAGGTAGAAGACGTAACCGCATTGTTTCGCGTTAGGCATGGGCGAGTGGCAATCACGATTGTATCGGCCTCGCCAAACGCTCCAAGTTAAAATATACACTTGTTCATACTTCAATGGATACTGGAGAAAGAATGAATTATGACGATAAACAAAATTGATTTGCGAGTTGTAGAATTTAAAATTTGAACCAGTCGAGCGAGACATTCGTGTTCGCTCATACTCATATTTCTTGATATTAGAAGTAATATGCAAATGTTCTCCACATATTTCAAAGATTTAGCAACACGTTACATGTTTTATTCTTTTAATCTTTACTAACTATGGATGACATGAAAGTTCTTATACNTTTTCAACAAGTATTGAACATGTAATGAATGTCAGAACATTTTCCACAGTTTCGTTGATTTCATAGGTGTTTTTATAAAGAGATTAAGAATCTAATTAAATTTACCTTAGGCAAAATTAAGAGCACCTCAACTAAGAGCACGCATTCTCAAGTCTTTCTAGCATCAAGGAATGCAAGCATCCGGAGGCTTGTGAACAGGAGTGTAAGCAAGACGAGGAGAAAGGGAGAAAGAGTGCAACGAGGAATTCCTGGTGTCTTCTCGGGCTTGAAACCGAACGACCGTAATCTTGGGCTATCTAACCTTGTAAACGTGGCGAGGTGATGATTTGCGACCTCCCCGCAGCGAACGTGGCTGGAAGGAAGGAAGGAACCCAGAATCAGAACCTACTCTTTTTCTCCCTCCCTTGAAACCCTTTAGATTCAATTTCGCGGGGCGTCAGCTCGCTGACACGACGTCCGCCCACCTTTTGCGGGACGTTGATGTACGATACGGTGCACCGCACTGCACCGCACCGGGCTGAACGCGTGAAACTTCGAAAGATTCGCGCGCACGGCCAGATTGTTTTTCGACCCCGTAAACGCGGCCCAAAGTAACGAGTTGTTGATTTTCTTACTTTTTTTGGATGCCTCAGCGACTCTTAGTTCTGACACGAATGGTTCACGTTGAAAACCGAACTGGTCGAAGATGGAGCGTCGCTTTTACACAGTTTAAAGGCTTGGCGTTTGTAAGTTTGTTGTTCACGACTGGAACGGCAGTGAAGTTCAGGATGAAGATGATTCAACGAAAACGGTTAATAAAATGATTTAATTTCTTCTAAAGAAAAAAGTATACTTGTAAGTTTCTCCAAAAAGTTTGCACCAGTGAACGTGAACGTATAATCCGGTACGTTAATTAAGACATGTATGTATCATACTAGCTGCTATAACTTTCGAGTAACTCCGGCAGTTTAGCATTCGCGTACTATACTTACGTAGCCGTGAGAAAGGTGCATCCGAGCTCATGTTTCGCAACAAACATTTCATAAGTTGCACAGGAGCGAACTACACTTACATGCTTCAGCCTACAATCGCGGCTAAAGCTTAATTATTCTCAACTGCAGCGCCTTTTCCTCTTCCCATTTGTGTACTCTGTTCATTTATATACTTAATAATGACATAGAGATAAATCTTAATTAATAATATCCTTCTAAATTGAATTCATACCATTTTTCTCATAAAATCTTAACGTACAAATGAAGTTTAAGTATTGGATATACGATTTCATGATTTTTTCTCGGATATATTCTATAATTACCACGATTGCACGTAGGCTACGGTAAGAATGCGGTGCCATCAAACAATTCAGAGGTCATCTCCTGTGCGAAAGAGACACAATCCATCGGAGAGGGTGTTCGATCGAGTCGAGGCTATCCTGTCGTTACGCAAGCGTCAGCAGCGGCACGCAACGCTTCGATCGCCTACGCGCGCGGATTTCACGCGCTGATCATCATGGATTTCATGCGCAAGCGAAATGGATGCAGTGTAATTACGGATGTACGCTGTAATTGGTCGAGATTCTAGTTTATGTGAGAAAGGTGCACCTAGCAAGACAATAATGAGGTATTTTGCAGCGTCGGTGGTACTGATAGAGGCACGTCGTTTAATAACTTTGTCTATTTGAGCGAAGACTTTTTAGTTGCTTGTATCTCCGCTCTTCCAGAGTTTAAAAAGTGTGGTCAAATAGAGCCCGGTTCTCGAGTCCAGATCATATTTCTTCGCATGGACTTCGGTCGAGCCTTCTCGAGAGGATCATTAACAAGACTCGTATCAATTAGAAATTCAAATCGCGGCACGCCGTGGTCCCATAAACTACGAACAAGCTGCCAGGTACGCGTGGGGCATATAAAATGAAATGAAAAGAAACAGAGAGCGGGGGGGGGATGAGATTGAAGTTTTGTTTTATACAGGCAAGATTTGCGGGGATTCGGCGGGGAACGGCGCGAGCTGGTTCTCCTCGCGTCATTTACAAGCTGCGCGCAAGCGGGTCCACCATAAATTTGGCTTCCTATCGCCGGATGCGATCGTAATATTTATCTAACAAATAATTATTTCCGATTATCTCGCGGCGCTGATACATGCGTTGGCAAACAGAGATCAAAGATACGGCGCGGCGGCCGACATCACCGTGGGCCTTTTGTTTAACGTTTAAACCAA